AACAAAAAATTGATCAAATAACCATTCGCTCAAGACGCAGGGACTCGGAATTTACGTAATTCACGTTCACGATCTCGAAGCCGATCTCGTAAACGATATGACCCTACTGGCAAATTTTGTTTCTATCACTTTCAATTTGGAGCAAAATGCATTCCAGAGAAATGCAAGGCCTCCGTGTGCTTGGGTAAAAAACGATTTACAAAACCAGGAAAACTCGAATCTGCAGTAGGTTCAGCGGTCTCTTCTGCAGAAAATATGAAGGATTGTCGCAAATTTCGTTTATTCGTTCGTGACCGAAGATCAAATTTGCACTTTCTTATTGATAGCGGAGCTGACGTAAGCATAATTCCTGCTACTTCACAGAATAAATGTAAAACTGAATATAAACTGTATGCAGCTAATGGCACACATATTTCCACTTATGGCATAAAAACGCTAACTCTTGATTTGGGATTACGTCGTGATTTTCAGTTTCCATTCATAATTGCTGATGCCACAAAAGGTATTTTAGGAGCTGACTTTCTTCACAAATATAAATTGCTTATCGATATAAATAAGAAAAAATTAATTGATGGCATAACACAACTTTGTGTCCAGTGTGATGTCGCTGCTATTTCCAGTGATTACTCAGTAACCACATTAAATAAATCCATAAAAATTTTCGATTTACTGTCGAAATATCCCGAAATTTCTAAACCTAACCTTTTTCCTACACAAATTAAACATGGTGTTACACATTTTATTACGACTGATGGTCAACCCGTTTATTCAAAGGCAGGACAGGTCGATCCAAAACACTTAGCTATAGCTAAAGGGGAATTTAAATTTATGCTTAGCAATGGAATTAATTCGTCCATCAAACTCCCAGTGGTCAAGCCCCTTGCACCTTGTTACGAAAAAGGACGGTTCGTATATCGTCCTTGCGGAGACTACCGACGACTTGAATGCTCAGACGATACCTGATCGATACCCAATTCCTCGCATTGAAGATTTTCATCATATTTTAAGAGGTACAAATATTTTTTCTCAAAATTGATTTATTCAAAGCTTATTTTCAAATTCCCATTGCAGAAGAAGACAAATGTAAAAACGGCTATCATCACTCCTTTCGGTTTATACGAATTTAATGTAATGAGTTTCGGTTTAAAAAATGCTCCTGCAACGTTCCAAAGATTTATTCACGAAGTCTTTAGAGGATTAGAATTCGTTTTTCCCTATTTAGACGATATACTCATTGCATCCAGTACCCATGAAGAACACGAAAATCACCTTAAATTAGTTTTCGAAAGATTACATACATTTGGGTTTAAGAATTAATGTTTCAAAATCTGTCTTTGGCTGTTCCCCAAATCGAGTTTCTAGGCTACCTAATTACACCTAAGGGTTCTCCGTCCTTTGCCAGAAAGAGTTTCAAGCTATTATTAACTACAAACGACCAGAAACAATTCATGAACTTAGAACTTTTCTTGGAATACTTAACTTTTATCGTCGTTATATAAAGGATGCAGCAAAGAATCAAGCATTGTTACATGCGTATCTCAAGGGAGCTAAAAAGAGGGACAAACGTAAAATCGAATGGACTGAAGAAGCTGAAAAACAATTTGAAACGTGCAAGAATGACCTGGTGAACACGGCACTGTTGTCTTTTCCCAATTCTGAATTACCTCTGGCGTTATTTACAGATGCTTCAGATATGGCGATTGGCTCAGTGTTGCAACAATATGAAAACTCCTCGTGGAAGCCAATAGCATTTTTTTCTAAAAAATTAAGTGATACTCAGCAAAAATATAGCACCTATGATAGAGAACTATTAAGCATATATCTTTCAGTTAGACACTTTAAGCATTATCTAGAAGGAAGAGTATTTACAATTTATACAGATCACAAGCCCTTAATATTCGCCTTTCGTCAAAAACTTGACAAAGCAACACCTAGACAGGCTCGCCAACTTCTATACATCTCCCCAGTTTTCGACTGATATCAAATATGTAAAAAGGTGAGAATAATATTGTGGCGGATACATTATCTAGAGTTAATGAAATTTCATCGATAGATTATGATAAAATAGCTGATGAACAAACTCAAGATGAAGAACTGAAGAGTTTGCAAACCACTACTTCCTTGAATTTCAAGCAATGTTCTCTACCTTCGGGGAAATATTTGTGGTGTGATACATCAACTAAACATGTTCGGCCGTATATTCCTCAGGCTTTCCGAAAACACGTCTTTCAACGAATTCATGGTTTATCACATCCAGGAATAAAATCGACTATGAAATTAATGACATCAAAATTCATTTGGCCTAACATAAAAAAAAGATGTACAGTTGTGGACAAGAACCTGCATTCCTTGCCAAAAAGCTAAAATCAGTCGGCACACCAAAACAAAATTAGGTGAGTTTGAAGTACCACCAGGAAGATTTTCTGTCATCCATATCGATCTCATAGGACCACTTCCACCATCTAAAGGGAATATTTATTGTCTTACTTGCATAGATAGATTTTCGAATTGGATGGAAGCAATTCCTTTAGAAAATATTTCCGCTGAGAACGTCGCAAGAGCCTTTTATAGCAACTAGGATTGCGCCGTTTCGGAACGCCAAGTAAACTCATTAGTGATCGTGGATCCCAATTTAAAAGTGATACAATTACGAGCTTTGTCCAAAATCTGTGGCATCAATTTTTACAACACACTACTGCCTACCACCCCTCGTGTAATGGCAAAGTTGAGCGCCTTCATAGAACATTAAAAACAGCATTAAAAGCCCACAACAACATATCTTGGACGGACACACGTTACCAACAGTACTTTTGGGTTTTTGCGTACTGCTATTCAAGAAGATACAAATCATTCTATTGCGCAAGTAGTTTATGGCCAGAGTCTCAGACTTCCTGGAGAGTTTTTCAGCGAACCAAGTATCCAGACAGCATCGGAGACTTTTGCTAATAAACTCCAGAAACAGATGGAAGTTGTTGGACCGAGACTAATTCGTAAAAATTCATCTGAACGGATATTTGTACATAAAGACTTAAAAAAATTGTTCTCATGTGTTTCAGCGAATAGATCGGGTAAAAAAACCTTTGGAACCTCCTTATGAAGGACCATTTCCTGTTATTGATCGCAAGGACAAATATTTTACTATTAGCATAAAAGGAAAACATGTTAATGTATCCCTGGATCGCTTGAAACCAGCATATATTTTTAGCTGAGGAAAATTCTCAGTTTGATACAATCCTGACTAACAGCTAATTTGCAGAGACCGGACTCAAATTCAGGATGTGAATCAAAAACATTCTCGCACAGGCAGAACTATATGTTTACCTGTTAGATTCAAGGACTGACTAAATTATTTTGATAGTGGTTAACACTGCAATACTAGTTACTACCTATTTCTCCATCTTCGTAACGTAACTTAGTTACTGGTGGGGGAGTAGTGTAGTGGCCCAGTTAGTGCATGAGAAATAATTATTTTTTATTTCATATATTTGTTCATGTGTTTAATTATTTTATAAAATTAACTTTAATATTTTGTTAATATTCATATTTATATTTCTTTTATGCTGAATGCCAATAAGTAGTTCATATTTATATTTAAATTTCTTTATGCTGAATGGCAACTAGTTCTAGTTCTGATTCATGATTGCGAGGTTTTGGTTTCAAAACGTTGCTCGTAGCGTCGCATTTCGATAGCTGGAAAATAAAATGCAATAACTTAGCTATTTGTTTATAATTTATGCTGTTACTAGTCATAAATTAATTTTAAACGTTAGTAGCCAAGGCTACAAACTACATGCAATATTATGGAGCCTCTAGAAAGCTGGGAATTGTTTTTCAATGCTAAAATGATACGATTAATTGAGAGTGTACAAATATTTATATTGAAAAAATATCGGTAAATTAAACCAGAGATCAAGATGCCAAAACAACAAATGCTGTGGAAATTAGAGCACTTTTTGGGCTTTTATATCTGTGCGGCTTGCATAAATCATCACACAAATACGCAAGATTTGTGAGCTACTGATGGATCAGGCATTGAAATTTTACGGAACACAATGTCATATAAAAGATTTAATTTTCTTCTCAGGTGTTTACGGTTAGACAATGTGACCAATCGTGAAGCTCGCAAAAAAATGGACAAACTGGCGGCAGTGAGAGAATTTTTTGCCAATTTCAACGAAAATTGCCAAAAGATATACATTATTGGTGAATATGTTACTATAGACAAAAAATTAGAGAAATTTCGAGGGCAGTGTTCCTTTCATCAATATATACCTAGTAAACCAGCAAAATATGGAATAAAAATATTTGGCTTAGTAGATTCAAGAGACATATAACATGGATTCAAGACACTATAACATGGAGATATATGCAGGATAACAGCTGGAAGGTCCCTTTAGAGTTAAAAATTCACCATTTGAAATTACAAAACGCCTGTGCACCCCTTTGTTTAGATCAGGCAGAAGAAACGTAACAATGGATAATTGGTATATGAGTTATCCTCTAGAAAAAGAACTTTTGTAAGTAAAGTAATAATAAAAAAACTCGTCATAATGCATCTCGATTTAAATATGGAAGAAATTTATAAACATTATAGAGAAGTCATGAACTTTTGTAAATTTCTCGCACCAGCACTTTCTAGGAAATACTGCACAATATCTTTAAACATTTTACTTTTAAAAACTCTCAAATTATTTTTAATGGAATTACAATTAACCAACAAATATATTAGCTGCATTCAGTGCTTCCGCATTTAGTTAAAAAGAACGATCTACATCTTTATTCACCTTGAAAAAAAAAAAAAACTATCAGAAGTGAACTTTGGAATTTCTGCCCAAATTTTCGTGCAATATTTGTGAAATGATTGTAAAACAGTGTATCACACAACAATAACTTGAACAAATTCTTATAATTCAAGGAATGCACGAAACAAAAATACATGAAATGCAATCAATAAAATTACTAATATAGCAACATAATTTGATACGAATTTTTAAACTTACTTCTTCAGAAGATAATGTTGATTCATTTTCATCGTCTTCAAGACCAGAATATTCACTAGAATCACCATCAGACTCTTCATTCCCTTGCGGCTGTTTTTGGTTTTTGTTATTTTTAGTTTTCATAGCTTATTTTATAAAGCACAGAAATACAAACAAACTTCAAACCTTCATGCGACTAAACGCTAACATGTGCTATGTTGACGATTGCCTTCATGGTTACAGTTTGTTAAAAACAGTTTTCCTTTCAATGAAACGATGCCGTATACAGCGTAGAAATGAAAGTCAATAAATAATCCTTTTTCTTACAAAATAATACATTCCTTTATTACCCTTTACTAACAAAAATAATAAATCTGTTCTTGTAATAAAAGATTTAAATGCCTGAGAGAATTCTGTAATTTGAGAGTGAATAAACCTTTCTCTAAAACACTTAAAGCACACGAAATAACATACTTGAAGATATTACTCTTTATTTTTGTTAAAAATTTAGAGTATAGTGAAAATTCAAAGAATTAAATATGTATTTGGAATAATCTTTCATTTTTTCCTACATTAATTTCCCCTGAAGAAGAAGATAACACTGAAAGCGGAAATAGCTGTCGTAATTTCCGTAAGTCAAGAAGAGCAGAAGTTAACAGGAAGTATTGCGTAATGGTGTAATGTCATGGCGAAGTTCTTATAGGAGACTTTTAATCTGTTGAACGTGTGATCGTTGGGAAGGTTGTGGTAATTGTTGTCAATGTAAAAAAAAAAAAAAAAAAAAAATTAACAACACTATTATTCTAGAGTGGTATTCAGTACAAGCTGTGATAAACTTTATATTGTGTTTCATATTCTTTTAATGACGATAGCGATAATACTAAAGAAATTACATTTGCTTCAGTTATCGAAGTAATTTTTCTTAAATCATCATGCGCACAATTGAATATGGGACAACAACACATGTCCCGGCATTTTTGACAAAACTATGGAAATTAGTGACTGATGTTTCATGTGATGAGTTGATATCATGGAGCTTAGTAAGTTCATTTATATTTTTTTATTAGCACATCTAAGAATTAATTTAAGTACATCAAGCATGAGGATTGCCGGCTGTTTGTTATTCTAACGGTCTTAATTTAGCAAGAGTTAAAATTGAAATTTAATCTTTAAAAAAATAAGAAAAAAGTCGATCAGAGAACGCAATAGTAATTTTAAAATAATTTCTTCTTGACTATTTTGAACTTGCGCACTTTTATGTAACTTTAAGGTAATCTTGATAAATATTAATTATCTGTTGCTGTCTTATTTTTCAGGACATTTTTTCTTCTCTTTTAATTCGAATAATAATAGTTAAAAAGTGCTTTATTGATAGAATTAGGTATCACAAACTATAAATGTTTAAGACTGAAACGTTGAGAAAGTATATAGCACGTGCAATATTCACCACTTCATTAAGTACTGTACTTGGGCAGTATGCACTATAAGTTAGAATATTTATGTTTTAAATAAAATTTATGTGCTTTGTATCAAATTAATTGTAATTGCTATTGAACTTAGTTATGTAATTACAGAAGTATTCTTAAACAAATGCTTGTGTATAAAAACTGTCTGTCATTTTAGTGGTTAAAAACATAATTAATTTGGAAGAATCTTGAATAGAGTACATTCAGGCTAGTTAAATACTAGAATGCATATTATTTCTATAGTAACTGCTAGACTAATTTGTTTGTAATTGAAAATAAATATTTTGATTAAGTGTTTGTGTGTGATCTTTTATAATTTTTCCCTTTTCAATTTATAATTTAGTTTTTGAAGTGTGTTAACTAATAGATTTTTTGCAGGACTTTATAACAATTAAGATCTTGTAAAATATAGAATTTAAAAGAAAGACCTTTGCTATAGATATATGTATATTTTTTTTCCCTGGGAATAGTTATATCTTGTCATCTTTTTCTAATAGTTTTATTTTAAATTTGCCTTTGCCAAAATTTTAAGTATATACTTACTGTACATATTTATATATGAAATTATGTACATTTGCAATTATCAGCATTAATTATATTCAATCATCATATTATGTCAGTTTTCACTGTGTTTTCAATACGTTTCTTGAAAAATAAGATGCTTTTCTGTTATGTACACATGTATATGTGTAGCTAACTATATGTGTGTGTATACACACATACTTTCTGAATACCTTTCTGGATCTGATTCCAATAACAGAAAAGCACTGAAAATAATTAATTTTAGTTATTTACTTCAATATTAAAGTAAGTAACTAAAATTAAGTCATTATGAAGACAAAAGCTGTACTAAGAAGGAAAGTTCACTATTTCTTGGTAAAATTAAGAATTTTATTAAAGCTCGTTCATTGATAAAACTGTGGCACTTTTCATTATTATAATGGAAAACTTAGAAAATCAGCTGATGGTAAGTTGGTCTTACTGATAGAATTTTTTTTTTTTTTTTTTTTTTCTCCTTTTATTACAAATTGAACTGTTTTGTACTTGGAGATGGGAAGAAGAAAGTTTGTATCTTATTAGCAAATGCTATATATTTTTTATGGTCTTTCAGGTAATCTGTAACATGGTTCACACATAATTTCATATAAGATAAAACTTTCTGAATAATGAAGCAATATAAAAATGGCTTATTTTTATTAGCAAATAAAGGTTATTTTTGTAAATAATGTTTTGTTAATTTTTTATCCAAAAGTAGCAGTAAGTGGATAAGTGTCTAATTTTTTTATTATAATTTTCTATTAATGAGATATATTCCAGGTAATGTTTTCATTTTTTCTTTTTTAATAACATAAAATGACAATGTTTTCTTCACTACAAAAGATGTCATTATTTGAGTTTTATTATATAATGTGCAGACTTCATATCATATATAATTTTTAGTGCCTGCTTTCTTCAAAAGGGTAGAAGAACTTTTTCAACAAACTTTTGTAAATATTCCAACACTGAGGAAATTTGAAAATCCTTATTTGAACTATCTTGTTCAATTAGTTTGCATTTGAAAAATGAAATTTTAATGGTTTGATTAAATATGTATATTATCTCTTTAAAGTAAATTTTGGAAATTCAAATTAAATTTTTATAAACATTTAATTCTCTAAATTAGTGCGATTCTTTTTCTTTAATATTTGCATCATTAAAATGTTATAGAAGAATAATTTCCACTTTAAATTGTATTAGGTGGTTATATACATACTCTCAGATTATATTAAAGCAAAATATTCTTATCTGTTGAATAAGTTATGCAAGGGAAAGTATCGGTTATATTAAAATCTTCTGCAGAAGTAAATCCTCCCATGTTAAACTGAATTTGTTTGTGAAATGTCCTTTCAGGAGCACTAATAAACTATAATAAAAAATCAAAAGACTGATTTGCAGTTAAATTTCGGATTCATCCAAGTTTGCTTTGTTGATCACTATTCAGTTATTTCTGTGGTTAAAAAATTTAAAGAATATATGCACCATTCACCATGACAAAAATATAATAGAAAAAGATTTTTCTCAGAATGATAGTTTATACATGTATATAAAATAAGTGATAAATAAAATCATTTTAAAAGATCAGGCTTGTAGTTTTGATGATAGTGACATCATTCTACAAGAAAAGGGAAAAGCAAAAAGACTAATACCAAGATTCTCGTGACTGTCAGAAAAACATTAATATTGAAAAGCGCTGTTGGATCATATAATAACAAACTTTTCCGTTCAGTAATTTGCAATCAATTATTGAAAAATGACTGCATTCCTGAATGGTAACAAATTTGTAATTAAAATTTGCAGTTATAAAATATCACTTAAAAATGATAAGACAAATTTAAAAAAATATTTTCTTAAATTTTACTTATAATCTTTAGTTTCAAATCAGTCATTGATTATACAATTCCATTAAACCAAAAGTTTTGATTTGTTTTAAGTTGCAGTCAAGAAAATGCTCAAGTGTTAAATGATTAACAACCTAAAAGTTTCACATTATAATTTACTTTCAAATGAATCATAAATTGCATAGACTTTAAAAGACAAGAATGTTTAACTTGCTATAAGATTTAGTGATGGAGAGGATTCATATGCAAAAGATTCAAATTAAAAGTTTTAACTTTCCACATTAATATGAATAGATAGATTTCCTTTGGAAAACATTGTTTTCCTGTGAACTGTCAAAAATAAGTTTTAATTATTAATATAAATGCATATGAACTATGCAAAATGGTTACTGATTTAATGGTTAAATTTTTTATTCATATTGTTCTGTGATAAATTGTTATTCAGTCAAGAATTTTGCGTCTCCATTGTAATGGTTTAATATTTTTATAGTTTACTGAAAACATTACTGGTGAATGAAGATTTTAAATTCTAGAAGGAGAGAAATGAAAGTTTGATTCATATAAAAAGAACTATTCAGCTATTTGCATTAAAATTTACCATTTCTGTTCAAATTTTTCAGTAGTTGTGTTCAATTATAAGCTGAATGGGAAAATACTTTATAGCTCATAAAGTGGTTTAATAACACATATTTCTGTAAAATATGATTTTATCAGTTATATTTTACTCAAAATTTTATTTCAAATAATTTTATATATATTAGACATTTATAAGCCTCTATGAAGTTAGATACACTGAAAACAATATGTGAATTCTGCATTTATTTTTTTTAATATTTCATAGTTAGGTTTGCCAAGTGCAGAATAAAAATTATAATCATTATATTGTATATATTTTCTTTATTATTAATATTTATTGTTGTTTATACCAAATCCTATGTATATTAGATGAAAAATATAAGAAGGTTTTGTTCTTACATTGAATTATTTAGAATTTTTAAAAAGATTGGTTACAGGATTTCCGTTTTCTATTCATATAATTCTAAAACTGTAGAAGCTTTTCTTTTTTCGATTTCCATAAACTGCTGCACTATATTTTCAGCCAATACAGTACAACAGTTTATGGAAAATAAATTAATACATACTTGAAAATTTGCCCTTAGAATATTTGAGAATAAAGTAAAAGAACTTAAGAAATGATTATATGTACCGTTTATCATCATATACTTCCAGTTGGGAACAATAATAATTTTTTTTCTGTTTTTACATAACTCATTTTAATTCAACTGCTGTTTGAAACGAGATTTTTAATTTGTGTATGTCTTTAAAATAACTAAATAAATAAACAAGGTGCTCTTTTTATTATTATTATTTCTTGTGGGTATTAAAAAACTATGATTAATGAAAAATAATAAAAGTTAAGAATAATTACTTCATAATTACTGTATTTCGTTTTAGAAATGAATATGATGTCAAGTAAATCCATTAGTAAAACAGTATATATGAGCTAATAATATCTTACTAATGAGAAACATGTTGAGAAAAGAAGTATATGAAATGTTTCCTTTATAATAATTTACTAGAATTTTAAATAAACGGTTAATAATGTCATTGAAAACAGAGGTTCAGTTTACTTTATATTCAAGCCTTAGACATGTACTTGATAAAAATATCCTGTTCTTCTCATTGATGTGTCTGCTTACTGACAGAATTCTGCAAGCAGCTAATCAGTTGGTTTTCTGTGTGTCAGTCTGACACACATATAACAACAGTCTGCATATTTCATCATAAAATTCTCATGCATCTAAAAGTTTCGAATTATTTACTAATATATACCCTCGGGCCGCTCCAACGGCCGGAAAGCATTGGTCGCGAATAGGCGAATCCATCGGTAATTTATCCATCGACAACATTACCCAGGGTGCACCATAAATTGTGAACTCGTATTACACACGCGGGAAGAGAAAAGGCAGCTTCAAATATTCTTACCTTCCCCGGGATTTGAACCCGGGCTCAAGGTTATGGTAGCCGACACCAGTACCTCCATGACGACGGGGTGGCTAGAAATAAAATATATTTGAAATATACTTTTTGCATATTTTAATTATTTAAGAAAAGAGAAATAAAATCTTTCAATTAAAAGGAATCAAATGAATTTTTTAACTTCTACTCGAAAGTGTATATTAATAGAAGTAAAAT